TGCCGGGGGGGGGGGGGGGGGGTGATAGTGGTCCTGCAGAGGGGGACCGATCTGGGATTTTATGAGAATGGGAAGGGAAGGAGAGACTTGTAGAGAGGATACCAATAATGCGGAGCTGTCAATCTTCTACTCAGAGCCTCAGCGGAAATCTGTTTTTCTACATGATCCATCCCCGCGTGTGTGGGACAAGCCAGGGTGTATGCCGGGTGCAAGAATCCAGTCGGAATATGGTGGAATGTGAGTTTCTACTCTTTTATGTTTGCCTTGCAGCTTAGATCTTTTTTTGGGTATTGTTATTCTTTATATTATTGTTTCACCATAGTCTTTTTGGGAGGTGCAACATGAAAGGTCTGTGTCTTGAGCTCCCATCTCCCGTTAGGCTGGATGGACGCCAGAGTGACTTGCGGTTGTTGTTAGTTAGCTCACAAACACAGATTGGTAGCCAGCCAGCAGGTAGCCGGCAGGCAATTCATCCATTCTATTCTGAGGCTTAACGAACGGCATATTCATTCATTTGTTCATTTGCGATAATGCACTGAGAGCATGAATAAGTCAAGTCAGCATGTTCCAGATTTCGAAGATCTTCAGTCTCTGCAAGGGCCAAGGAGATGCAGGAGGTTTCTGACTACATCAAAATGACGATTCAGAGACTGTGTAGAGTAGCTTAATGTAATATGATAATAGGAATAAGGGGCAATTACATGTTGCACTCTGTTCGTGCATATTGCTGCCTGTGTGTTGGCCCATGTAACTGGGGGATAGAGAGCACATTGTCAGGTAGTGGAGACGCCAACAGAGATGTGTGGCACAACCACATCTCTGTGATTTCATTTTGCTTTACGATAATTGACACCATGGCCATTCATTGGACTGTCGGTTCCAAAACGCCTAAAACGGAAAGGAGTGCTTGGTGTTTTCCAACAGGCCTGCCATCGGTGGAAGTGAAGGTACTGCTCTGCTGTTCATGATGACACTGGCCTCAGTTAGGGCTGCTGCTGATTGTCCACGACTCGTACTTGCAAATCCCTTGTTTTCTCAGCTCAGTCCACTGTTCATTCTAGGACTGTGACTTCAGGGGTCTTCCATAGAGGAGATGCGGCTTGCTGTCTGCAGACTCTACTTGTCGACCCCTTGTTTTCTCTGCTGTTTATTTGGGCACCCACTTCACTTCAGGGCCCTTCCATACAATACATCCTGCTTATTGTCCACAGAATCGCAGATCCTTCTTGCAAATCCTTCGTTTTCTCTGCTGGTCTCTGCAGTTTTTTCGCTTCTGTCCTTGTGAATCTGTCAGCTCCTTTCCACCTGTGCTGTCCTGCTCTCTCCCTCGTTCTCGCTGCCACACCCACACACCCACACACCCACACACCCACCTCCCCCACACACACCGTTCTACCTCCTGCTGAGTCGGTGAAATCCAGACAAAGGAGTTTGGCACATTCATGCTTTTCTTTGTGGAGTCATGTATAGTGAACATGACAACACACACTGTTCTACCTTGTTTGATTGCCGCATGGTGCCAAGGGATCTGTCTGTTATCTTTGAGCACATTCCTGCCATCCACCTTATAATTTATTTACCCTCATTCCTGTCAATTTCAGATGGCCACATCCCCATGGCAGCAATAGTACATTGCCTGGACCTTCTTCTCCCCTCAGCCCCCGCCCTCCTCTCACCCCCTCACCTACTCACCCCCAACTCGTGCTCTCTCTCTCTCTCTCTCTCTCTCTCTCTCTCTCTCTCTCTCTCTCTCTCTCTCTCTCTCTCTCTCTCTCTCT